GAAGATTTTAAATACAGATTTGAAGGGTGAAAGAACATATCTGGCCTGCCTTCCAAACTGACTTCAGTAATAAATAAGCAATTTTAAGACTACCACAGTCAACAAATACATACATAAGCTATACATTAATATATTTATCTATATTTAAAATATGAGTTTTACTTTCCCCTTTGTTTTCATAGTTTCCTCTAGCACACAGTCCAGAAGAAAAAAAACTAGATGTCTTTCCTGTTTCAGCAAAACCACCCTTTTACAATGAATATCCCAACAGTTTAGATATTATTTCTCAAGAATCCTTACCCAAAGGAAAGCAGGCTTCCTGTCAGCGTCAGTAACAATTTGTACAAGTTTTGTATCATCTTTGGAAGATCATTCCATCAAAAACATCCTTAAGAAAGGAAGGGTTTTGGCTTGTTTTCTGTATGCAGTGCCTGACTCCAAGCTGCCATTCACTTCTTCAAGTTTCTTCCCTGTTCCTGGTATGCTCCCTGCTAACACCTGAGGCTTCAATATTTTGCAAAAACAGGGTGAAAACAGTATAGGTAAAGCCAAAACCAAACACAAAGATTTGAAGCGATTACTAAAAATACAAGATTGAACCAGGGGATAACAACATTTTTAACAAAATTAAACAGATAAACTTTGCTGCAAATTAAAAACAATTCTCTTGTATCTGAGCCCATAACAACTATTTTGAATATAGATATTTACTGCTGCCAATAAAGAATTTTTTTGGTAACTTTTCTGTTATTGGGAAGAGTTTGAATACAATCCAGTCCAAAAAATGCTGACTTTCCTAAATAGGGGCTGTGTTTTTGCAATAAAGAATACTGGTCAATATACAAGTGAAGGAAAACTGAACCAGATGTCAGTAATAGGACCACAGAACGTTGCATTTGCCCAGAATCGCTATTTTAAACACACGATGTTGGTCTACTGGTTTGTGGGATAATACATTCTTGGCAGCCAGAAGGAGTTTCAATATGTTAGAAGGTTATCCTTGAAGGGGGGAAGAAAAAAAAAAAAAAAGAAAAAGAAAGAGAAGTAGAGAAAGGCCACTAATTCATCAAGCTCTCTAGAGCAGAAAAAAATTGTGACTTACTCAGGAAATCAGTTCAAAGAAAAGCCAGTCTCAAAACAGAAGGCTTGGTTTTTACGTTAATTTTCATTTTCTACTTTACTTCCTTACTACTATCCTTTTTTTTCTTTTTTTTTAAGGATCCTTCCCTCCACACGCACTCGATTTCTAGGCGAGAAGGTCAGTACAAGGACTGATGGGTGGGGGAATCACACGAGCAACTGCACGCACAACCTAAACCGCACAAGACCCAGTCCTGAAAACTTTTTGCATCGGAAACCTTTGCTCACACGAGGATCCTGCTGCCATCACTGGAGCAAACAGTTCACAGGATCAGGTCCCACTGTCCCAGAATCACTACAAGCAGCCCTGGAAGCCATATACACACAAATAATATTAACCCAGGTCCCTATCCATTGTCAATTAAGTACTTACCCATCTCTGAAATGCTTTCTAGTTCACAGTTACAGGAATTTGAGACAGGGTTTTGGTTTTTTTCCCTTCTATTTAAGAAGTAGTTAGATCTGAATGCCTTCTTAATATAAGAAATAAAACTCCAAAATGTACTTTGTAAATTTGGCGAACAATCACTTCCCTGTTTTACCACATAGTAAATTTAAAAATCAACTCTGTTCATTGCTTTAACAAACCCTCCTCTGAAAGATAATTAAAACCACTTCCCAATATACAACCAAAGTTTTATTTTTATAGTCTATCTTCCATTATGGCATAATCCTTTCTTTTTTTTTTTTTTTAAACCAGTGAAATATACAAATCACGCAAGACAGAAGTATGTACATTAAATGTACAGAACAGAGGAAAGGACATAAAAGATTTACATATCTGAATGACAAGTAAAATATTTTACATTAAATACTGTTTTAACAGCTAGGATCATGAGATTCACTTCTGCTCAGACAAGTCATTAAAAAGAAACGATGTGATTCAGCAAATGAAAAAAAAAGATCATGGTTTTTGTACAATAAAAACCAAAGTGACATATTCAATGAATTCGTGCTTTATTTATCTTACTTTAAAGATATTCTTTGCAAACATCTGAAGATGAGGGGTAAATATGTCCTTGTACAATAAATTAAGAGCAATAAAGCGCCATTTAAGAAGCTGATAAATGATCAAGATGAACTTAATGATACAGCTTAAAGGCTTGTGAAAAATTAAGGCTTTAGTACAACTAGGCTAAAGTGAAAGATTTTCCTCACTTGGTATTTGAAAAACCATTTTCTTTAACTTGTTGGATGGGACTGAGTTGGAAAGAAGCATCTGAACCAATACTGAAATCCTGTGTAAATACACAGCAGTGGGGGGGAACGCATATTGTTCAACAAATAGTAATTTCCATTTCAAAAACTGAAAAGTAAGGGCCAAATGCAGCACATTTTAGAGTCAGAAGGTGTCTCTTTTCAACAATAATCAATAATGCCCTTAACATGAGAGTGGAATAGAAGTGATCTCCAGACCAGGATCAACTCCAGTGCAGGGTGCTGCCTCTAACAACTGCCCAAGAAAGTCCTAAAGCTAGGAAGAGGCTTACTTCTTTGTGATTATCCTTAAAACTTCTGAATTATAAAAGTTTTTAAAAAACAGTAAAAAAAAAAAAAAAAACAAACAAAAACACCAAAAGGTTAGAATCAATCTAAACACCTGAAGAGATCTGAAAAAGCAAATGGGGGATGAACTGCCCCTGTAATTTAGAAGTTTTATTATTTCTTAAATCATTAAAATATATATGTACAAAAAGCTTTGAAATACCAGACACCAGCAGACCACAGTTCTCCCATATATATGTAAACTGCTCAAGTATAGTCTGAACAGTTGTAGTGTATATCTGCAATATATTATCTAAAGCATGTGTATTAAAGACACAGGATGATAAATTTGGTATTGCTGCAACATTTCATTGAACTATAATAGCCAGTTAACGTTATTAAAATATGAAACTATTGTCTCCTTGAGTGAAAGCGTTCCCAAAATCTGTGAAAAAAAAATTAAAAAAAAAAAAAAATCAATCATTCCAAGAGTGGATATCTAATGATTTATTTTCTCACATAAAATTATAGGAGTTATTTGTCAAGCTGTGTTTTGAAAGACAGCCAGCTATTACACCATTTTTAAGGCATTTTCAAATTTGGGGAATTCTATTTTCTATGGGCTTTCCGGGCTGGGAGCCTGAGACTGTTTGCAAGCATGCAGCTCCCCTCTGCCCAACTACAGTGCTCCGTGCAATCTGCACCTCGGTTGCTCTCCCCGCTCGGCAGTAGTGAAGTACTGCTCTGTAAGATGAGACACTCGAACATCACAATTAGCTAATAAGGCCAAATTCTGCCTTGAAGAATATCTTTATTATTCATCAAGACAGATTTTTTTTCTTTTTTTTGTTTTGTTTTGTTAGGTTCTGGAAGCTGACATGGTGACGCAGGAATAGCGCAGTTGAAGCCTTTATGATCCTTTGCTCTTTACCCTCCGATGACACTGCATACTTAAGCGAGCACATTCAGATATGCAACTGACACTGCACTTTGTGATGAATATACCACTCCTTATTTACAGAGCCCTAAATGTACTGAACAGCTTTATATACCCTATTCTGATAACTTCTAGTGTCTGAAACTAAAAGTCATGGACAGGTCTGTGTGTTCCTCACAACCATAAGGATTGTTCTAATATCCCAAGCACATTATACGGTTGCTCTGCCTACTGCACACGTATTACGTCCCACGGGACTAAATTAGGATATGTTGGATCTTCCCCTCAAACTATTCTATTGTTTTAAAAAGTCAAATTTTTTTTTTAATTTTTTTTTTTTTTTTTTTTTACTTTGTAAAATAAATATTCTCAGGTTCTACCCCATTATTGCCAAAAATATAAGCCGCACACAGTTCTGGGATGGACGCAGAGAGGGTTTCCAGGCACTTCTCTTTGCAACCTTTAAAACTTTTTTCTTGCTTTTTTTTTTTTTTCCTCTTTTTCCTTCCCCCTGCCTCTTTTTTTTTTTTGTTTTACTTTTTTTTTTTTTAAAGAAGACGACAACTCGTTGGACTCTATAAATTAAAGTGGAGATAGTCCTGTGGCAAGGGAGAGGGGTCTGCACTCCTTGCTGGCAGGTGGCTGCAGTTCCTCCCACCTTGTCCATCCCCTATTTGCACACAAATTGGTCCACGATCTCTGTGCACAACTTGCATTTCACATAGCAGCACCAGTGGAACTTGCAGTGGCAGCGCTCCCGCTGCACCGTCTTGAACTGGTCATAGCCCCGGCCACAGCACATGAGTTCACAGCCATCCATGCCCTCCGAGGTCTTATTGCAAAGGCGGCCCTGGGTGCCCAAGGACCCGGTGCTCTCGTTGCGCACGCAGTAGTCAGGGCTGGGATCAATGTAGACCAGGTCGTGGACGGTGGGTGCATTGAAGCGGCTGTTCACTTGCACCAGCTTGCCCCGGCTGTTGAGTTTCATGGCAGCAGCACTATCGTACTTCTCCTTCAGGGCATCGCCTACTTTGCGGAAATCGGCAAGCTGCAGCCAACAGGTCTTCAGGCTACAGGAACCAGAGACGCCGTGGCACTTACAGGCCACATCAGCCAGGTTGTACACAGTCTGGAGAAGCCGGGGAGAGAAAGAAAAAAGGATGATGAAAGATTAGCGTGGCTGTGAAAGCACGAATTCCCCTCAGTTCCTGCCTTTTGTCGCATTCCCACTCACCCCTCCACAATATTTGCCTGAGCATCCTCTGCCCTCCTGCGATACACCGGGATGGAGGAGCAAGCGAGCAGACACCCGTGCTCTCCCAGCACCCTGTTAGCCGGGAGGAGGAGGGGAGGGCTCTCCCCAGTCTCTCCCCATCAGAGACAGCCCAAGCAGCTCACACACAGCCAGACAGCAGCATCAGTCAGGCTGCAGTCAAATTTTAGGAATTCGCTCTCACGCCAGCAAAGGATTTTGTTGTTTCATTGAGAATGTAAAACATCCCTTTATTTTCTATCTGAGTTACTCTCCCTATTGATCTCTGCTTGAGGCTGCAATTAG